AGGCTTTTGTAGACAGCAGACAGCCCTGTGTTCGGGTCCTGGCAAAAATAGGTCACACACATTCGACACGTTCGACCAGGGGAAGTATTCGACATATTCGACACATAGTGCGCTTTCTTGGCAGGGGAAGTTTTCAGATGCTGAGATCAAATGATCTTCCACTCGTTAAAAACAACGATCCAGTAGTCGTTCCGAGCCGAGCGAAGCGAGCCGTCCTGAAGCTGCAGGTCGGGAGCTCACTTGGAGGCGCATGCGCAAGGCCACGAGCACGAGGAGAATGCGAAGTAGATGCTGGTGGTCACCTCTTTTGAGAGGTCGAGTCTGTTTTTTTTTGAGACGCCTGGGGTTTGGAGCGATTCCTGAAATTCCGTGGTAAACGTAGAATTTATTTGCTCTACCCCAATTCGAGACCTATAGAAGCAGCGGCCCAAAGGCATTTACTAAGTCGTGCTGACCTCCGACCTCTGGATGTCATGTGATTTTCCAGTCGTGCCAGGGCCCACACAGTTCGTGAACGGTCCCAGGATCGTCCCGAACGGTCGGAGTGTTCCGTCGCATAGAGTCCGGCCTGGGACCAGGTCACAGAGACTCCGATTCGACGGGGACCAGGGCGTTTGGGACGGCGTTTGGGAGCCATTGGACCCTGATCCGACTGTAGCCACGTTCTTTGGAGTGCTAAGTTCAAGCCACGTTCTTTGGAGCGCGAACCAAAACAACACGGTGGCAGGCTGCGTTCGAGGCCACACATGATCCCCCAGGTCCCGCGTGTTTTGACTCTCAATGTGTTCCAAATTCTGCGCCGCAGAGAGGATCGGGTTTTCAGATCTATAGGGTTCTTCATGGTTCTAAGGACTTGGTGAATGTGTTCGATATCCCGGACACGACTAATGGGACTGCCATAACATGCATCCCCAGACAGACCCCCTTTTCAACCACCCAAAAAAGGCCGTTTCTCGGCCAAGATGGCAGTCCCATGTGTTGTGTCTGGGAATTAAAGGGCTCGAGGCTTCGGCTAATCAATTAAAGTAGGACCCTTCTAATCTCTTCATCCCAAACTCATTGCTCTCTAAACCTGCGACTGTAGTAGAGGTTAACCGCCACTTATGGCCACTTTCATTAACATCTGAAATCTTATCAAACATTCCCAGTTTATCATTGCACCACTGTTTTATATTAATTAATATAGAAATATATAGCATATATATATACTGTACACATCTGTACACCTTTCTTGGGGAAGACGCATCCTGCAGGACAGCTCCAGCAGTTCTTCCGCCTCCTCCGCACCGCGTGTGCTGCTGCAGGGGCAGCCACTGGACCCACGTACCGCCTCGGGCGGCCGTGTGGCACGTGTACCGCGGCGCTCGAGCGACTCGGGCAGCGAGCTGAGTGCCTTAAGCGCGTTGACAGGATCCAGGAGGAGCCGGGTTCGGAAGTTCTGGCGGGTTCCGGCGGGGGAGCCAGAGAAGAGGAGACCCCTTGATTTTTTGAGGATCGGGTGGTTTGGATGTTCGTATAATATTTTGAGAATCCCCCTTTGGGAAGATGCTAAATCCAAGAGGAGACCATCTGGTGACACCCTGTGATGGCTGTTCAAAGGCCCTTGTCACCTGGTAGACGATGGTGACCCCAGATTTCAGAGCGGCTTTGCCAACGCTTGGCCCACACAGAAGCTCGTAACAAGACGTGTATTCATTTGATTTGGCTGGCGCAAAAAAAAATGCCATGATCAAGTCAGGCATAGAGCTAGTGCCTGGCGTTTCTAAACCAGAGATCCAGCGGTGGTCAAACAGCGAGTCCGCTTCGTGGCCTGCGGATTGACCACCTGAGGTGTTTGAGCTCCTAGAGCTGTCTGGATCATTTTAATTACAGTAGTTTCAGAGGTGCGGATGCACCCCAACATGTCTTTTATATATATATATATATATGGGGGTCCATAAATATATATATATATAAACCACCGACCATGGGGATTGTGCCATTTGCTCTGAAACCACTCTATGTCTATCAGATATCATCCAGGAGTTCCAAAGGGGTGTTAGTTTTGTTCCCTTACGTGTAAGTGGATGTGACAGGGGCACCCGCCTCCAAGCTTCGGACCCGACATAGAACTGCTAGATGGTCTTACCTGGACCCTCCAGTCGGGATGCCCTGTCTGGAAGCCTAGGCCGGTAGTGCGGGGTAGTTCATTGGACACCCCAACAGGGGGGGTCCTGGTAGTGTATCTTATATTGCTAGGACATGGGCGTGGTGGGAAATGGGACATGGAATCCAGGTCTGATTCTAGACACGACCCGTCTGGGACTGCCAGGACGGACTGCCGCCCCAGAGGTCGACCCCCCCGACTTCAACCACCCCTGGCCCAGGCCGTAACTCTCGGCAGTCCGGACTGGCAGTCCCAGGTCCGGGTCGTGTCTGGGTTATGGAACTTGGCAGGAACGGTCTCAAGACCCGGACCGTTCACCGCCGACCCGCCGGACCAGGCGAGACCGGTCTCGCAGATCTGGTCGAGACCCTTTTTTCCCGAACTGCTGGGGGGACTGGGAGGTTCATCCTGGGGGTTCTAACAGTAACATCTGGAAATTGCTAGGTAACAACTTATTTCTATGTCACATCGAATTCGAAACTGAATGGGGTCCCCATGCCGAAGCTTCAGCGGCGACCAGCTTCGGTTCTTCGCCACAGGCTTCGGTTCTTCGGGTCCATCGTCGTCGCCGGTTGGCCTCAACACGACGTCCCCAGTGGTGTTTACAGTGCGGACGACGGACGGACGGCGCCAGGAGCGTCTCCGCCTCTTCGTTCCGCTCCAGTGCTCCTTCCTCATGCAGCTCACAGCACTCTGGTCATGAGAGCTCCAGTGGCTTGGTCCGGTCATGAGGAGTATGGCGTTTTTGGTTGTTTTCGGTGGAGTGAAAACAGGTTTCAACTCATAGTAGCCAGTAGCTTGTATTTTGGGGGGTGGGCTTCTGGAACGACTTTTTTTAGACTTTTGTCCAGAATTTGCAGAACATCCTGGTCATTCCATGCACGTGAGGTTGACGTGACATGACAATGACCAGAGATGGATCACCAAATGGGACACCAAATGGTTTCTGAATGATACAGCTGCTTCATTTGCCAAGTTGGTCAAACTAAAAGCACTAGGACCAAACCCAAGTGAAGAAAAGGAACCACATTTCACCCAAACCATGAAAAACAAAAACAAACACACACGACATCATGTCTACACAATTGTTCGAGTTCATTTGAATTAATATGATATATATATATAATGTTGTTCACTGTTGTTTTTTACAACTTTAATGATAGTGTGAAGAAAGGGCCCAGCACAAGAACACTTGAAAAGCATATGGCATATACCTAGCTTTGTGGGCGATCGCCATTCAGCTCAAGAGAGCATACAATCTTCGTGCTGAGAGTTTCATTCAAAGGTTGGACCCCCCAAAATCCATGGGTTTTGGTCTATGCTTATTGGGGTTTTGGTCTAGTCTCTTTGGCTTCCTACACACACCACTTTCACCAGTTTCAAGTTCCTTTGTGGCCTTTGAATGAATCCAGGTCTTTCCAGCGAGAGAAGTCAATCAAAGCGCTTGAAGATCTTCGCGGACAAGATGCATCATGAGACAGAGCTGTCACACGGCCAAAAGGGAAAACCTCGGTTGGAGAAGAGGAAGTCTTTTTGATCACTTTGCACCCGTGTATGTTCATGCATATGCTGCAGATGTGATGTGTTTTTTTGCATGTGATTGGAGTATTGGAGTGTTTTTTTGGGGGGGTCTGCCCCTAGCTTCCGAGGATGGACAGGAGCCCCCAAAGATCCATGTTAAACACTTGAGTCTCATTCACGGCATGCTGGACGGAGAAAACCCTACGATACACACACCGTTTGTCTGTCCACTGTCCACAAGCAGTTCTTTTTTTGGTCATGTACAAGAGAGGTCCACGTACTGTTCCACCGGTCCACGTAGGGTTTTCGTGCATCGCTGTGCAGGATGAATTCGGCTCATTGCTGTCACCAATCTATAGAAAGCTTTGCTCTTTGGGCTCAACTAACCAGGTTGACGTCAAAGAACATGCGCCTCGTTTTGACAGAATCCTACGAATCGATCCTCCCTCCAAATCTGGAAGTGAATATTCACCCCATTTCTAGAGGAACAATATGGAAGAAGGTGGAAGAACAACGACTTCTGAGAGCAAAAGTACGTGAAGTGTAGCTGTGCCAAACTTGAGCTGTTTGCATGTTGGAATGCGGAGATTCCTTCCACTCTCATGGATGAAGTGTACGGTTTCAGTGGTTCGATGGCACTGGCATCCACCCCAAGATGTGGTCACGACAGATGGGGTCCCGACTTGGGGATACTAGTGCCATCTACTCTCAAGCCACTAGACCCGAAAAGGGTCTATCCACCACCTACTTCGAAGGTCTTTGAACACATCCATCTTCTCGGCAGTCGCGCCGTCGCGGTGGATCCGGGATTAGCTGCGCGAAGACAGCGCAGAAGTGATCCGACCAACTTGAAGAAATGATCGAGGTCTGTGACCAGCTCGAAGAAATCATCCCTGAATATGTTTCAACATATTGCATTATATATATATAAAGGCTACTGTATATATAAACAGTGGTTTCAGAGTAGATGGTTTATATATGTTCCACAGCTGAAGGACCTCTTGCGGTGCGCCATCTGAAACCGAATCCCGGATCGGAATCTCCTGCGACGCATTTCCGCCGGTGCCGGGGCCGCTGGGGTGGATGAAGTTCGGATGATCAGAGCCAGGACCGTGCGAACCGTGTGTGACCCAGGACCTAAGCATATCCTGGAGACTCTAAATGTCTCTAAGCAAATCCCCAGGTCAGGTAGAGTCTGTAGCCTTGTAAATGAATTATGTACCTGCTTTCGGGGATTTCAACTCAGCATATCTCCCACATGTCGGCCTCTTCCTGAACACCCTGGCCTTTCAACTGCAAGACGGATGGTTTCCCCTTTCACCGCGGTGCCCAGTCGCCTCACACAGCCGTCTCCGCCGGTCAACAAGAACATGGCTATTTGACAGATGGAACGGCCTGCAACCAGGCCCCATCATCATGTATACTTACTGGGCAAACAGGGAATAGGATAGACCCTACTAATGTTATTGATATGTTCCAGCTGCTTCCAGCCGGAGTGTAGTCTTTGGGCTACCCTTTTTTTGACGAGGACACCCGGATGCTGGGAGTCTCTGTGTATGTTGTTTTCGGAGGCAGTATGACAAGGCCTTGATGAAGGTCTTCTGCCAGCTAGTGAATCCGAAGGCCGGGCCCAGCCATGGGTGGGAGAAAGATCTGAGAGATCGGTGGGTCATGCAGTCAGTTTGGGACGGGCTAGTTCAGCACTCACAGCTAGTTCGGAAGTTGAGAGGTTTGATCGGGCTGGGTCTTTCGACTTCAGTAGCTCAGTTGAAGAGAGTCGGCAGACATGGGGGAAGTAGCTGCTAGTCTGTGAAATGTATATATATATATATTATATATATATTATATTATATATTCTATATTACATAATATATATATATATATACACATACCGGCACACATGGTGGCACACACACAAATTGACCATGACCTGAAACTTTCTCCATGTGTCCAATGTTTATGCACCTTGTCGCCAGAACGGCAAAACTGCACGCTAGACGGTGCTGGGTGTTTTGGGGCAACCCATCTGGACCCGTCTCGGATGCCGAGAAAGCGTGAGACCGTTGCCGTTTGGACGGACATCCAAGAGAGGTTGAGAGACCTGAACTGGGACCCTGTAGTACGGCTCATGACTCTGTTAAGAAAGACGCTTTTTTAGAGTAGACTCTAGATTATTTCTCAACTATAACCTTTCAATTAAGAAATTTGGCTAGCAGGTAGACTCTAAATAAGGTTTCTTATTCTATTTTCTCCCTGTCAACCCTTCTTAGACCATGAAATCGCTCTCCCTCGAGCTCTAAATCGCTCAACCGCATCGCTATGCGCATGGTCTTTGACTTCTTCGACCCGTATCCCCGGATGTTGTACAATGTTCTATCATGGTATAATGCTCAAGAATCTGAGATGAGGGGAGGGAGGGAGGGAGGCTCAAAGTTGAAGGCTCCGATGGGACTTCTAAAGGGCTTCAGACCAGTATCAGACCACCCGAGAGGACAGGTTGGGGACAGTTTTTGCAACAGATCTAAACAAACTGAACCTTTTGCTCTACGTACGTATCATGGAAAGGGGTCATAAATGATGTCAAGTTTGTCATTTTACACCTGCACCCTGGAAATCCAAGGGTCATTGTCTAAAAGCGGATTTTTGATCGCAAGATTAAACAATGCGGCCCTTGTGCCGCGCCATTCCATGTGGGGTCTGTAAGTGAGATACGTTCAGGGTCTACAGGATAATGACGGCTCGCTTTTAATTAGGTACCACTATGGTCGTAATTCGGTGCGTCCAATAGTTGAAATGCTCGCCGACGTTCTTCGAACCACCTCAGTGAACCATTTTCGGAGTGATGGGGAGGAATGTCACGAAGCGTCCGTCCAGAGTAGTTCAATACGCCAAACAGATGCTCGGTTACCTGAAGGCTACTCTTAGCTGGACCTTGCACTACGGGAAGCCTAGATCTGTGGTGTGTGGAGAGATGCAGGTTGCAGTTCGAGGAGATGGACAGCTCCGTGTCGATATGCTGGCAGATGCTTTCTTTGGCCCACCATCGGGCAGGGGACACCAAACAGCTGCGGAACATGACGAAGCACACAAGCAACTCTGCAAACAAGTCCAAAAAACTAAAAAGCTCTGAAATCCAAAAGACTGAAGTCGAAGGCTTTCTCAAAGCTAGCAATGCACTGACTTGCTGACTCTCAACATGACTGCTTAAGCTAGATTGCACACTCTGCTGCCCCCCTTTCAACAAAATCACCGCACAAAACACATTGTCCATGTACGAGTGAATGCAAAAAGCCTTGAAAGGAAACATCAATCACCGAATCAACTGTCGATCTCATCGTGAGCACCACAAATCCAAGTGTGGTTCGGTGACGCAAGAAAACAGCCAAAGCCAAACACTTGGTCGATGCATCTGCCGGGTTCTCAGTACCGGGGACATGAGCACATTCGAGGATTCCTTTGGCCATGAGCTCGCGAAGCCAACAAATTGTAATTTCCACATAACGCGAACGACGCTGCAAATCAGAAGCTTCGAGGATCATTTTTCCAGAGAGGGAGTCAGTCAACCAAACAAGGTCCTCCGCCAAGTCCAAGGAATGTGGCGGGGGGGGGTGTTCCGGCGCGGTTTTTCGGAACACCTCATGATCAAGTATGTGGGGCAAATCAGGGTAGATTCGGGTAGATACCTCATAATACTTTGCAGTCTTTTGATGGGAGCTGAACGTTTCAACACACATGCACACATGCATGAAAGATCCTAAACCGTTGAATTTATCGCGCAAAGAGAACAAACCTTTGGGCGTCATTTCGCCACAGATACATCTAAACCAGTGACTAATGGGGTTGCAAAGGCCTGCCTGTTTCATCGGCGTTTTGTTTGTCGCTGCTGCCTTGTCTCCCCACTTGTCTCCTTACACATCTCCGCACTTGTTTGCAGGTGTAATCGGCCTGTTTTTGCTACTGCTGCCTTGTCTTTTGCACTTGTCTGGCTGTTTGATGGCTTCCCCACTTGCTTGCCTGTGTGATTGGCCGCTGGAAGCGGTCATGGTTTTCTAGTGAAGTATACTGTATGTACTGTACTTGATTCCCCACTGCCAGGTGAGGGTTGTTAGATATTATGTCAGTTGCCTCGCGTCTCCTCCTCCTCCTCGTCCTCCTCGCCTCCTCTACCACCAGCTCCGGATGGCAGTGTTCCCCGCCAGACCTCAACCGCCAACTTGTTGCCCGCCGGACTTCACCTCAACCGCCAGCTCCCGACGGCAGTGTTCCCTGCCACACCTCAACCGGGAGTCAGAAGATATGCCAGAAAGAATGTCAGAAGACACGGAAGATATGCAGAAGATATGCCAGATAGAATGTCGGAAAGAATGGCAGAAGATATGCCAGAAAGAACGTCAGAAGATATGCCATACAGAATGTCAGCAGATATGCCAGATAGAATGCCGGAAAGATTTCCATGAGATATGCCAGAAGGAATGTCAGAAATAATGTCAACAGATATGCCAGAAAGAATGTCAGAAGAGATGCAAGAAATAATTGTAGAATGCCAGAATGAATGTCAGAAGAGATGCCAGAAAGAATGTCACAAGATATGCCAGATAGAATGCCAGAAGATATGCCAGAAAGCGTGTCAGAAGAGATGCCGGAGATAAGAAGCGGGGACTCCTCTCTCTCTCTCTCTCTCTCTCTCCCTGAAGCGACATTGGGAATGTTTGGGTCAGAAGAGAACAAGATGAGCACAACATCTGGAAGATCAAGAATGAAAAGCTAGAAACATTGGGCTTCCTGGCAACGTATGTGGACGACATGTTCACTGTGGGCTGTCTCTCTCTCTCTCTTTCTTTACGGGGTGTTCCGTGGCTTCTTTGTTGGCGTCTTCTTCCGCACCGCATACGGCCTCGAAGCCACGTGCGTCAACCTGGTGGTTTGGGGCTCGCCCCATGCCGAGCTGGCGGATGAGGTGACTACCAGTCACGCTAAGACAGGCCCTTCCAGGCGGTACAAGCGGGATGCCTTCGAGCACCTCTGCCACCAATACCCCTGGTCCGTAGTCGTGGTCACCTACTCCGGCAGCAAGGTCGAGAGCCCTGCCGACCTTCGGCCGCCGGAGGCCGTGCTGCACCTCGAGCTGGTGGTGCCCTCCGCCGGTCCTACCTCTTACACGCAGCGGTTCTCTTCGGGCTGGAAGCGTGCCGAGGTGGTCATGGCGCATGGTGCGGCTTCCTTTCCACTGGTTGAACCTCCAGTGGACTTCATGCCTGGAAGCCAGCGAGGTACATCCGCGGGATGGAACGCGCCCCCAGCGCCTTCACCTCTGGAAATTGATCGAGATGCTGCAGCTGACCTCTCCGGAAGGCGCTGCCATCTTTTTGGGAGAAGAGAGGGCCGATCTGTCCATCGGAACCCTCCGGAAACTGCGCAGAGACTGTCCGGAAAACCAATGCACTCCTTCAAGATCAGCTTGATGGGATGATTCCAGCACACGAAACTGAGGCACCACGACAGTCTCGAATGCTACTGCTGCAACTGATCTCGTCCACGAAGTGGAATCTCCGTTCATTCGATATCAAAGCCGCATTTTTGCAGGGACAGACTCAGAAAGGTAGAGGCAGAAGAGGTTGAGGTAGCTGTGCCACCACAGCAGCAGCTGCTTCGTCTTTTTGCTCGAGGTGGGAAGAAGAGAATGGCAGCCCAGAAAGTGTGGGAGGTGGTGGACAAGTCTGTGCTGGACAGAGGAGACAAAGGATGCAGTGGCCTTGGCCTTGGCAGCCACCGGAAACTGTGAGGCAGCACAGGATCCATCCCTCCATCCATCAACCAAGCACACAAACAAAAAAACTGCATCTCCATCACAAGCACTGTATCACGCAAGCAATCAACAGCAAGCGAACCAAGCCTGTGTTTCCCAAATGCTGTCGATACTTGGTTTGCATTTCGGGGGAGCCGCTCCGCCCTTCCCCGCACCCCCCTCCCGCATTTGTTTTCATTCCGTCCATTTATGCATCCATGCCCGCCCGCCATTATTTACAGAGCATCCATCCATCCACCCATCAAACAAGCAAGGAACCAACAAACCAAGAAACCCAAACCACACAACCCGGTGTTTTCTCCAAACACTGTTGCCCTCCGCCGGTGAAGCAGGTAACCCCTGGAACCTGCACAGACAACGATGTCACCTCCTGTTTGTTTCACACCGCTTGTTTGCGCCTGCCAAACTGCCAAACCTTTTGTTTTCACCTCAATAGCTTCTTGTTACAAACCCTTCTGAACCCTCCGGCAACTACGCAGAGATTGTCTGGAGCAGCATTCCTCAACTGACACCCGACGCGCAAGGCTGCGTTGTCGTCCACCCTGGATCTCTGGTCCCTAGAGGGCCCGTTGCAAAGGTTTCCCTGCAGCGCCCTCTATACAGCAATTCCTATTCCTGCAGGCGAAAGTCTTCTTTTTGATCTATGAAGAATGCGCTTCTGAGCGTGAATTACCATCATGGTGATCTTGGCGATTTGTTCTATATAGAGGATTTGGTCCTTCCCAATGAGTCCTCTTTGTAGGGCTGTAGATTGAGGGATGTGGGTCAAGAGAACCCAAGCGTACAGGATCCCTATGAGACTCATGGTTTGAAGAGAAGAGTTTCCTCATCCAGCACCCCTGCAATGTCACCCACCAAAGGCCACATCTTTTAATCGATTTTCACATGTTAAGGCCGTGAACCAGTATATATTGGGCTATTGATATATGAGTTGAATGTCACCCAAACATTATACTACCCGCCACTGACATAGGATTTGTCGGAGGTATGCTCAAAAAACACAAGTCCCATGTCATGAGGAGAGAGCAAAATGTGCCAAAAGCCACAAGTCCTAAGTCATGACGCTTGTAGAAATGCAGGACAAAACGCATGACTGGAGATTTGTGCGCTAAAACCAACCTTCTGGCAAAGCCAGGACATGGGAAGAAGCTGGGTTTAAAGTTTAAATAAGGAGGCCGTCCTATGTCATGTCCATGGCGAGGCAAAAATATTACATGACTGGAGATGAGAACGGTTCACAAACATACAAGAGTTCCATGTCATGTGGTCCCGATATAGCACAATTTGATGTTCATTCAAAAAATAACAATTTGCTGATATCATCTTTTGTGCGCAACTCCTAAGTCAAATGTTTTTTCATTTCACTCAGGTAGATGCCCCTTTTTTTCTGCTTCATGGTGACTTGGGAAAACCGCCCCAGCAACTACCCATGTCATTGGTACCAACAAGTCCTAAGTCATTGGTCCTCAGTATAACTAAATGGTGTTGCAAGAACAGGCTGTTGCTGATGCAAATGATGAACTAATCCATTCCCCTTGCATTTTCTGCACCAACGCACCAAAATCACATCCTTGGCACACCTCCCGCCAGACCCCCTAAAGACTCACTGCGCTCACAGAAAATGATTTCAGCCTAGCCAATCGACTGGTTTTCGTGATAAAGCGGCATAGACCACACATAGCAACAAACTGCAAAGACAACCCGAAATAAACAAAACAAATTTTTAACTTCAAGTGATCCCCACCATGACATTTCAATCTGACAATTTTCTTGGCATGTATTGCAACGGACTTCTCGTGCCGGTGATCGCGGACGAAGCCCTTGGCCTTCTCATGGAGCAAGTTGTTTGTCGTTCTGGAATGTTCGGGTGAGGTACGACCCCGGAGCCCCGAACGGAGCCCCTGCCACAAAATTTTGACCTGTTGCTGGTGCAAGCAATTGGCCGATCTCTGTCGTGGGTCGATCGGCTTCCGACACCTGGGATCGCAATGGCCTTGTCGTATACAGCAGCGCGGGGGGGGACAGGCCCAAGTTTTTTGAGAAGGAAATGGTCTCCTTGTGGTGCCCGCGGCACAACTTTTGCTGCAGATCCACTTCATCAGCAGAATTTGAAGCGAGAAACCAACGAACGATCGAACGAACCAACAACCAGTGAGCCAACAAACCAATCAACCCGACGATCGAAGCCACCAACGATCCAAACGACAACCAACGAAGGGCCAACCAAGCCAACCAAAGTAACGAACCAACGAACGATCGAACTGACATTTTGGCATGTGATATGAATTGGTTTACCAGTTGGTTGCTGCTGGCTTTTGTTACCTTTTTTATATTTTCAGCAGGACCCTGCACCAGTCCCAGGCGTCCGCACTTTTAGAGGATTTTTTAAACTCTGAAAATCAATGGACCCAACACCTTCAGCAAACCTTTCGGGGGCCCGGATGTGTTTTTGTTGTTTAATAAAAGGTTGTCTTCCATACAAAAACCACCAGTTTTTGTTTAGCACCTATACCGTTTCAAACATCTTATAAGCCAATCTTTGGCGAATCTTGCAGTCTGACTCAGGATATTCTGGAAAATGCCGCCAGTGACCGCCGCGCAGGTCGACTTGTGGACGCCGATGTCGCGAGAGGAGTTCGTGAAGTCGGTGAGCAAGCTAAAGTTGGGAGAGGACAGGTGCTGCAGGTGCTGCAAGTTGGACTTGATTTGCCCGGTGAGTGTAAAATCCTTAGTTGATTTGGGATGACCCGCCTATTAAATCAATGGTGGGCCAGGAAACCCAGGGTTTGGATTTGGGTCACAGGGCTAGCTTCTGGACCACCTCGCGCTGTGGTTGGTTCTTTTGCCAGGTGGTCCAGTCTGTTTGGGTCCGGTCAACCAAGGTCTTTGGGTTTTGTTATTAACTAAAACCTATAGTGTTTGAACTTTGAACCCATAGTGTTTTTTATGGAAGTCTTTGGGCTTGACCAAGGTCTTTGGGTTTTTGAACTCGTGGAAGAACCACGAGCGACTTCCGACCCACTAGACTTTCACTCGCGGACGAACCCGCGACTTCCGACCCGCGAGCGGGAGTTATAGTTGGACGCAAGGGAGCGAGCCCTGAGAGAAGGAACCGTGAGGATTTTCCAAGTGAAGACTTTTTTGTCTCATTGATTTCAAGATGGCATTGAAGCTATAGAACAAAGGATCACACGCTAGTATTTCCAATGTATCCCTTGAACACCCATCACCGCGAGACCGCCACAACAGCTGGGATTTGCATCAAATGGCTCCATGTTTGCAGAGGTTAGCTGAAGAGTTTATTTGGTTCAGCCCCATGGGCTGCGATATGTTCCCCCAAAGAAACAATCAATGCATGACTGTATGACCGGTCCTTCAAAAAAGGACACACCACCAGTAGATGGTCGCTTGCCCAAAAGTCGATGCGTAAGCGGCAGTGAAGTCGGTCCTGAAGACCGCGGCACGAACAGTCGCCTCCGAGGGAGTCGGACCGGGTGAGATGTTCCGCACCGAACAGTTCCACCGTCGGGGAGCCGCAAAAAAAAGGACCACGATGTTGGAGGGCCTGAAACACCCCATTTTTACCGTTTCGAAAGGCCGTTAAACCTGAAAACCGACGAGTCGGGAACCTCAAAACTTGTGAACATATAAAAGCTATGAACCTATAAGCCTATGAGCCTAGAAACCTATGAGCATATAAACCTATGAATCTATATACCTGCAACCTCAAATGATCAAAAATAATTGTGCATTCAGAAATTCCTGTGCACTACACGTCTTTCAGGAAAAACACAAAAGTCATTTGAAATGCACGTTTTCTGATTGTAGCCCTTTGGGCTGTATTGGGTAGCATTTTTTCCACTTCCGAAGCCTGTCATTCGGTGACAAATGATGAGAAGATGCAGCTTTGTCAGAAGTATTGAGATACCTTTGCGGGTCGAAGGGTGTGCCCATCCCAAAGGAATGGCGTCCGCTGCTCCCTCAAGAGATTTGGAATGATTTGGAGCTTGTCAAACCGGCAGGGCTCCATTTTGTTGAAGAAAAGTCCCGCGTGACAAACTTGTTCTACCCGGAAATTCCCGTCAAATACACGTCTTTACCCGTCCAATACACGTCTTTTCCCGTCCTATACACGTCTTTCCCACCCAACACACATCTTTCCCAGTCCACTACCCTACAGTTACGAAGCTTATGAACCTGTGGTGGGACATGTTAGCAGGATATGTCAGAGAGTGAGTTCAAGAACTGCAAGCCGCAGAGTGCTAGACCGGATCCGTATCAAAACGAAATGGGAGATTCGGAAGTTGAGCTGGAAGCGCAGGCTCCGGCGAAAGTGACAAGCAGGGCCTTCTTGTGTGTTTCAAGACAGGACCATGCTCACAGAAATGCACAATTTTGTGTTCAAGTGCACAGATTTCTGTAGAGTACACGGAAATCTCCTCCAAAATCAAGTGCACAAAAACTTTTGCCCAATGAAGATGCAGGTATATATTCCTCGAACCCACAAACTGCTGAACCTATTATCCTTTGAAACTTTGAACCTATAAACTTCTAGACCTATAAACCTTTGAACCTATAAACCTTCAAGCCTTAAACCTATGAAGCTATCAACCTTTGAACCGATAAACGGCTCTCGTTCCCGGAACACCGTATGAACATATAGACCCATGAAGTTGTAGACACATGAAACTATGAAGCACAGACAATCGTATGAACATCCATGATTTCGACATCCCGGGAAGCGATACACCTGGTAATCACCAATGAAGCTGTTTTCCCTATGAGGCTATAAAGCTACGAAGCCATAAACCACTGAACCTATAAAACGATGAACCTAAAGCCTGTGAAGCTAGAACCCTACGAGCCTACAAAGTTATGAACCTGCACACTTAATAACCTATGAACCTCTAAACCTACAAACCTGACCTATGAAACTATATAGACTTGATAACTTTGGCCACATCAATCAGTGTGAATGGGTATGTACAAGCAAGTCTTAAGTATCATCATACCAAGGGCTTGGTGTTTCACTGCTGGATAATTTTTGAATGTCAATATGCTGCCACCTTGCCACGGCCTTTCCCCAAGACTGTGACCAAAGCAAACAAAAAATACCTCGTGACCATCAGAGTGCTAAGCAGTGGGATGATGCGTTGGTGCTCTTCGGCTTGAAAGCCAATGGCTATTTTGGAAAGCTTGAAAGAGATCAGGAAGGAGCTGCGCTTGAAAAACCACCCACACAAAAGGAGGGAAACTGGGTCAGCAGAAGCCGAGGATCACACTATCATGGGCAGAATCAACAAGGTTTTCGCAACACTTCAGGATTCAGCCAAACAAGTCACCTTCAAAGAGGCTTCAAAAGAGAACATCTTGCAGATCCAGGTGCAGTGGCTCAGGCCTTACTTTTATGAGGCTAGGCTTAAGTGTGACAAATGCACCAGTGTGGCTTTGCAAGCTTTCGGCTGTGCACCATATTTAGGAAGGCTCAGCCGCATGATCTCAAAGACATTCAAGCCAAGGAAGACCTATCAATTTTCGGCGTTGGAGGCCTTGCTGAGCGCCACAGTTCTGACTTAAAGGGAAGGCAGAACCCTCCATGTAACGGAGGGCGATCCATGCACGAAAGCATGTTGACCACCCGCACTGTAGATTTGGAAAGGGAACTTACTATATTCTACGTTTATACCACGTGTATACCGTATTGGCCATGTCTATAACTAGCAATTCAAAAAGAACAAAAGCCTCCCTAGCCACTTCTGTGCTGCAGGAGGGAGCCAAAGCGGTCTTCAAGCTTTCTGCCCGCTCGGAGGGCCATGCGCCCATGGGTGCCTTGAACTTGGGGTGACTGGGTGACCTGGGTGAAGTAGACGGAGTGAAGTGGATGAGAGGAATAGTGGATGAAGCCTCCAAAAGATGATCCGAAATGCGACTGCAAAATGATCTGAAGCGTTTTGAAGTTGTGTTTTGATGTGCCTTCTCCAAGCGTTTTGAGTGGTATAATGCGATTTTCCTCGCTGAAGACCCAATGTTGTGTGACATGTTTCTACTCCCAGAAACAACTCAAATCACAACCTTCAAGTTCTTAGTTGCTGTGTTCTCCCACCAATCCCCGCCACTCTCTTTCATGTCGGCGCTCTACGGCTGTTTTGAGGCGAGATTTTGCTGCGGGCGCTGGGTGGCTTTGGGCGCAAGTACCGGAAGCTCCGCGGGCTCTTGGGTTTGTGCCTTGTCGTAGAGGTGGGGGGATCCATGGCACCTTCAGGTGGAGTTTTGTTTGTGGAAGAATCCAAGCGCAGTTCCAACAGAATGATTTTGGTCCAAACAGGCATCCTTTTGGAAACTGCGCCCGCATGCAGCTGGCTTGGTTGAGCTCGAACCACTTCCCATGATTCAGGAAGACAGGAGCAGGGAAGGAAGATAAGCTAACGAAGCGTTTTCGAGTGCAGAATGAAGGGCAAGGGTTCTTTCATGTTCTTTCACTTTCAGGGTTTGACTCGTAATCCAATAGAGTCAACAACCGAGCCCCTGCCTTTTTCACTAGAAACAACACTTACTTTAGGGCCGAAAACCTCTGCGAATTTGCAAGACATGATTGTTTTGGTGATGCCATTTGTTGTTTACATCCCATGGTGTTTGGATTTCCAATGTTGTGCGTGGAATGCTGACAGTCACGCAGTCTTTCCTGAAGACGAACACAGAAGCAAGTCTCAAAAAACGTGTCCAGCGGCTGCAACATGTCGCAAAACGGTATTTCAACAGAGAGACCCAAACAGTAGTCATGTGTTTTTGTTGCCTTCTTCTAGGCGGTCTTTGGGAGGTTCTCCCTCTTGCAAGACACACATCCATAATATGTTGCAGGGCCGTTGGCGCCGTTTGCCATTCGCTTGGTTCTTGGCCGCCACGGGCGAAGACATCCGGAAATCTGCAGAAGAGTCCACCCAGGTGAAAGCTTCCTGTCTTTTCAGGTGAATAGCTTAGTGAATGAACATTGGAATTCTTGATCGATCTTCTAAGAAACCCTCCTGGCAATGTCTTTCGTAAGGGCAACATGGGCCTCTTTCATGTGGAGCCAACGGGACGACCGTCTTTGCTCAACTAAGGGCTGTTGAGGGAAGCAGCCGTGGTTCCTCCAAAGCCTCTGTGGCACCTGAGCACGCGGAGGAGGTGAAGGAAGACGTTAAAGCCTTAGAGATGCTCGGTAAGAGACCATCCGAGGTTGTTTGGTCGGTGACCAGGGTTCGGTTGATTGACATCTACAGCTACCTTTGGATCAATTTGGGGTGTTTTTTGTGTTGGAAAAATGACCCAATCAGTAGTCTTGGCCCTGAAATATTCCGAGCGTTTGCAGTTGTCATCGATTATATACCCTAGGGATCCAAGTACCTTCTCAGAAGGTGTTTGGAGTGGGTTTGGAGGGTGTGCCTTCTGAGAAGGTAATTGGATCCCTAGGGATAGTCATAATGTGATTAACAAGGGGGGGTTGGGTCGTCCTGGCATGATGACGTGGATGTCATGCTGAGAACACTGTCATCACTTGCATAAGATAATCTTTGGCTTCACAACATTGTCATTTGTTTTGCAAGATCGTCATCGATGTGTGGATGTTGTCACCGATGAGTCGTGTGATCTGGAATGATAATGTTCATGTCATGCTCAGAAAACTGTCATCACTTTCCCAAGATAACCTTCGGCTTCACAACATTGTCATCAGTTTTGCAAAATTATCATCGATGTATGGATGTTGTCATCGATGAGTCGCGTGATCTGAAATGATAA